CACTTGGCCTGGAACTCACTATGTAGACTAGACTGACCTCCAACTTACAGAAATTCGCCTGCCTCTGCCTCCCAAGTGTGGGGACTAAAGGCATGCACCACCACTGGGGCTGGAAAGATAGCTCCAAGGTCAAGAGCACTGATGGCTCTTGCAGAGGACTGGGGTTTGATTCCTAGCACTCATATGGTGGCTACGAACCGTTCTTAACTCCATTTCTAGGGGAATCTGAAGCCCTCTTCTGACATCCACGGCATTGCACAACACAGGTGCGCTCACATACATGGAGGCAATACACTCATACACAAAAAAATAAAAATAATATAAAAAATTTTTAAAGGAATGCGCCGCCACACCCAGCCAGCTTGATTTTTTAAAAAAATTTGTATGTGTGAGTGCATCAACATGTGTACAGGCGTTTGGCCAGAAGAGGGCATTGCATCCCCTGGAATTGGAGTTACAGAATGTTGTGAACTATCTGGTGTACATGCTGGGAACTGAACTCGGGCCCTCTGGAAGAGCAGCAACTGTTCTTAACCACTGAGCCAATCTCTCTAGCCTTTTTTTTGTCCTTTAGAAGATTCTACTTTGGGTTTACATTTGGAGATTGTGAGGAATAATAACTATTTCTTATTTCTCTCCCTTTCTCTCTTCCTCCCTCCCTCTTGGTTGTTTTCTTGAGACAGGTTCTCATATACCCCAGGCAGGCCTCAGACTCAATATGTAGTCAAGACTGACCCTGAACTCCTAATATTCCTTCCTCTACCTTGAAAGTGCTAGAATTATAGGGATGTGCTACCACATATGGCTTTGGTAACAATTTCTCTTTTTTTTAAAAAAAGACTTACGTTGCTGGGCGTGGTGGCACATGCCTTTAATCCCAGCACTTGGGAGGCAAAGGCAGGCGGATGTCTGTGAGTTCAAGGCCAGCCTGGTCTACATACTTAGTTCCAGGGCAGCTGGGGCTACAGGGAGACCCTGTCTCAAAAAGCCAAAAAAAAAAAAAAGACTTATTTATTGGGGATAGAAATGGCTCAGCAGGTAAAAGCATCTCAGGACCCATATTGGGTGACTCACAACTGTCTGTAATTTCAGCAGCTCCAGGTGTTATCTGACACCTCTGGCCTCTGTGGGCATCTGCATTCATGTACACACACACACACACACACAGACACTTAAAAAAATGAAATGAATCTTTTAAAAAAGATTCATTTTATTTTTATATGTGTCTGTGTGTGTGTATGCCATGTGCATGTGTGTGGGTGCTTATGGAGGCCAGAAGAGGGTGTCAGATGCCCTGGAGCTGGAATTATAGGTGGTTGTGAGCCACCCAGTGTGAGTACTGGGAACCTGTGTTCAGGTCCTCTGGAAGAGCAGCAAGTGCTCTTAACGTCTAAGCCATCTCTCCAGCCCCAGTAACTGTTTTTTGGACTACTTTAGACCTTAACAATCATTAACTATAAGATAGCTCTAAGTTAGTGAGAGGAGAATTTGAAAGAGTTTTCTTAGTTTGAGGGTTTTGGTGTTTTTGTTTTACCAGATTCTCTGTGTCTTTCTTGCTTGATACTTGATCTTTAACTCAGGGAGAATTTTATCAGATTTTTTGGGACTTTTAAACGATTATTTTAACTATTAGGGGCTAGAGAGATGGCTCAGCAGTTAAGAGCACTGACTGCTCTTGTAGAAGATCTGTGTTCAGTTCCCAGCACCCACATGGTGGCTGACAACTGTCTGTAACTCCAGTTCCAGGGAATCCGATGCCCTCTTCTAACCTCCACAGGGATGACACTTGTATACATGTAGATAATACACTCATACACACAAAAAATAAAATAATAAAATATTTTTTTATTTTAAATTTATTTTTATTTTATGTGTATGAATGTATTGCCTGCATACAAGTGTACCCGTGTTGTGTGATGTCCTCGGAGGCCAGAAGAGGGTGTCAGATTCCCCTGGAACTGGAGTTACAGCTGCTTAGTAGCTGCTGTGTAGGTGCTGAGAACCAAATCTGCATCCTCTGGTAGAGCAGCCAGTGCTCTTAACCATTGAGCTATCTCTCTAGTCCCCCATTTTTTCTTTTTTTGAGACAAGGTCTTGGTAGATACTCTTGCCTGGCCTAGAACTCTAGAGTTCACTTTGTAGACCAGGCTGGCCTCTAATTCCTAGTGATCAGGCTTGGTGGCAAGTATCTTTATCTGGTGAGCCACCTTGCCAGTTCTCATTTACTTTCTTGAAACTACTTCTTTGCTGGCATGGCACACCTATAGTCCTAGATACATAGGAGGCTGAGGCAAGAGGATCACTTGAACCCAGGAGGTTGAGGCCAACTTGAGCAACGTAGTGAGACTTTATGACCAAAAAAGGAGAGCTGCAGATGTGGCTTAATGGTAGTGTGTTTGCCTAGCTTGCACAAGGTCCTGGGTTCAGTCCCCAGCACTGCCAAACCCAAACGGGGCACACGGCCTTTAATCCTAGCACTTGGGAGGCAGAGTCAGGTGAATCTCTGTGAGTTCAAGGCCAGGCAGGACTACATAGTGGGACTGTCTCAAACAAAACAAAACTAAAACCAAACTACCTTCCTATTTGAAGGTAGCATTATGAAAATACATATATATATATTCTCAGGCATGGTGGTGCACGCCTTTAATCTCAGCACTCGGGAGGCAGGTGGATCTCTCTGAGTTCAAGGCCAGCCTGGTCTACATAGTGAGTTCCAGGGAGACCCTGTCTCCAAAAAAAAAGTACATATAATGAGAGATTATTTGAAGCCAAGCATGTGATGGATGCCTATAATCTCAGCACTCAGGAGGCTGTGGAGGATGATTGCTACAAGCTGGAGGCCACATGGGCTACATGCATAAGTGCTGGGACAACATTGCAAGACCCTACCACACACAGACAAACAACAAGTCATAAGTTAACTAACAGAAATTATTATTTGAAAGGCTGCTGGAATGGCTCAGCAAGTAAGGGCACATGCTGCCAAGCCTGGGGACCTGTGTTTGATTCCTGGAACCCACATGGTAGAAGGAAAGAACATCCTGCGAGTTGTCCTCTGACCTTCACACACTGTGGCAAGCATGTGTTGCCCCCTTCCCATACAATAAATAAATGTAAAAAAAATTTTAAATTATTTGAACAATGTCCCAATTTAAAAATATATTATTTTTATGTGTATAAGTGTATTGCCTGCATATATATGTAAGTGCACCTGTGTTGTGCAATGCCTAAGGAGGTCAGAAGAGGGCATCAGATCCCCTGGAACTGGAGTTAAGACAGTTGTTAGCTGCCATGTGGGTACTGGGATTTGAACCTGGGTCCTGTGCAAGAACAGTCAGTACTCTTAACCACAGAGCCATCTCTCCAGACCAATTTTAAAAATGACTTCATTTTTAGTAGTAGATAATTCAAAATAACATTGACACCTGAATAATTTCTCTAAACACTATTTTTGTCCTTAATTTCAGCCTCAGAAGCTTTGGGATCAGCAGGACTACCATCTCACTCTTCCATGATTTCACAGCATTCTAAAGGAGGTGCATCACCAGGTCTATTGATGAACCAGGGCCCACCAGACACGGCAGAAATAATAAAAACATTACCTCAGAAATACAGAAGGAAACCTCTATCTCAGGAAGAAATGGAATTTATCCAGGTATGTTGTTGCTCTTTATCACAAGATTGTGCAAAGAACCCTAACATTTTGCCTTTGTGATTTAATTTGCTGATTTACATGTTCTTTCTATTTTGTCAAATGGGATCATAGCTCAGAGAGATAAAGGGGCATGCCAAAACTGTGAGACACAAACCAGTTAGGACCCTCAGTAAATGCACATGACCTGTGAAGAAAAACCATATGAAGGGCTGGAGATGTAGTTCACTGGCACTACTCTTGCCTAGCGTGTGCAAAACCCTGGGTTAAATCTCTACTACCACCAAAACAAAACAAACAGAAAAAAAGGCATAAAGCCACATGCAGAAAGCTCTTTGGAGAGCTAGAACGGTGCTTCAGTGGTTAAGAACATTGGCTGCTCTTCCAGAGCACCCAGATTTGGTTCCCAGCACCTGCATGGCAGCTAACAACCATTCATAACTCCAGTTCCAGGGGATATGATGTCCTCTTCTGGCCTCCACAGGCATCATATGACATGGGTGCACTTACATACATCCAGACAAAACACTCATATACATAAATAAAAATAAAATTTTAAAAATAGCTCTTTGGGGGGCTGGCGAGATTGCTCAGTGGTTAAGAACACTGGTTATTCTTGCAGAAGACCCGGGTTTGAATCCCAGCACCCACATGGCAGCTAACAACTGTCTATAACTCCAGTACCAGGGGATCCGACAGCCTCTTCTGACCTCCGCGAGCATTGCACGACATTGGTGCACTTACCTACATGCAGACAGTACACACATACACATAAAGTAAAAATAATAAATAAAATTTTTAAAAAGTTTAAAAAGAAAAATAGTTCTTTGGAGTCCTCAATAAATTTTCAAAGTAATAAGGGCTTCTGAGACCAAGGAGAAATTGGAGAATAACTGATGTCACCAATGTTGAGTCCCTTTCTAGATATGAGTTTATGTTTATAACACTTAACATAAGTGGCACCAAACTGAAAAGCTCTGAATTGTTTTTAAAAAATCAAAGCTTTCAGGCTAGGCATGGTGTTGCACATTTTTAATTCCAGCAGAGGCAGGTGAATCTCTGTAAGATTGAGACCAGTCTTGTCTACATAGTTCAGGCCAGCTGGGGCTACCGTAGACCCTGTCTCAAAAATAAAAAAATGGAAAAAAAAAAGAAAGATCTTTGACATAGTGACTCACTCCTGAAATTGCAGGTCTAAGGAGGATCGGCTGAGGCAGGAGGATTGCCATGAGTTCTGGGCTACTTAGTGAGTTCTAGGCCAGCCTGGGTTTCAGAGTGAGATCCCTGTTTCAGAAAACCCAAACAGCCAGGTCTGGTGACACACCTCTTTAATCCCAGCACTTGGGAGGCAGAGGCAGGCGAATCCCTTTGATTTCAAGGCCAGCCTGGGCTATATAGTGACATCCTATCTCAGAAAACAAAGAACAGCCAAACAAACAAAGAGCCTCAAGACCATCTGTTTATTGTATAAAGTTGTATAATGGCCAATTTAACAGGTCACCTCATTGTTTTATGTTTTCCTTTTCAGCGTGGAGGTCCAGAGTAATCACTGTGGCTGCTGTTTGTCATCATACAAAAGAATTATCTTTACAATAAAGGACTCCCAAAATAACAAATGAAAAATTGTATATTAAACAACCTTAATAAATATTCTGCAAAAAGACTGAAATATAGAAAATGTAGATGGATTCTTGTATCTCCTAATTTATGTATCTTGGTTGGCTTCTCCACAAGCTTACCTAATTGTTTCTGTACTTTATACTTATTAAAGTCTACATTTTAAAATGTTAACCTATTAACTCACTCTTGATTGTCAAGTGTTACCAGTGATGAGCTATAGGACACACAGTATCTCGTAAACAATCAGAGATTTCCTGTGATTTCACTTTTCTGTTGCTGTTTACACAAAGAGAATTCATAAAGCAGAATTACTGTTTAGGGAAGGGATTTTCCTGAAATTAGATGAGGATCAGTAAGATATTTCCATTATTTATTCTTAATTCTCCGATAGTCACAAAGTTATTGGAATACAATTGGCTTTAGCATATTTTATTCTAAATAATAATAATGTAGTTGAAATAAAACAGACTGTGGGATAATGATTTAGGAAGGTAATGCAAAAGATTGTACCTATATTCAGAAAAAATGTCTATATATAAAGTGGAAAATAAGAGATCAAGATGAATATAGCATAGAAATAAATATTTCACTAGAAATTGTAACTTACTATGTTTTGGGAGATGTTGGCTTTTTGTTGTGATCATGTGTGAAAATCCTGATAATCATCAACTTTTTACACCTAATGTCTGAGAGGCTCATAAAATCCAAGTAGCTTATTAAGGCAACCAGTGAAACTATGGTAGGCTCTCCCTATGCCAAGGATATGTATATTCTGAAATCTTCACAAAGCTGACTAAATTTTCTTCCATATGGAGCTGGAGAGTTGGCTCAGCAATTAAGATGGCTGTTCTTACAGAAAACCCAAGTTTGGTTCCTAGGACTCACATGGCGGGTAGCAACCCTGGATAAATCCAGTTCCCAGAGATCCAACGTCCTCTTCTGGCCTTTGGGAGCATTACATGCACATGGTGCACTTAACATACATGCAGGTAAATACTCATACACAAGAATGAATTTTTAAAAATCTATATCTGTAATGATTTCTAGAATATACTTTAAAGAAATAAGAATAGGGCTAGAGAGATGACTCAGTGGTTAAGAGCACTGACTGTTCTTACAGAGGACCCGGGTTCGATTCCCAGCACCAACATGGTGGCTATGAACCGTTCTTAACTGTAGTTCCAGGGGAATCTGAAGCCCTCTTCTGACCTCCTCAGCATTGCACAACATGAGTGCACTCACATGCAGGCAATACACTTACACACAAAATAATAAAATATTTTTTTAAAAAGGAATAGCTCATGAGCAATATTGTTGAATTTTTTCTATTTTTTGTCCAGTTGCCCATGAGTTAATCTTTATTTTTTTCTATTATTCCATATTTGGTCAGTTTCTATTGTAAATTCTGTGCTGTGGCCAAGTATGAATGCTGCCCCAATATTGGGTTTGATGCTAGTAATGAGCTATTCCAGTAAGTAATGAAACATACATGAGTCATCTTTTTTTTTTAAAGATTATTTTATGAGTATGCATGTTTTGCACCTATATTAACTGCACCTATGTCATGCAATGCCCCAGAGGGAAGGAGTGTATTGGAACCTCTGGAACCGAAGTTAAGGATAAGTGTTAGCTGCCGTGTGGGTGCTGGAAACTGAACCCAGGTTTTCTGGGGTTTTGTTCTGTTTTTTTGAGTTTTAAGACAGGGTCTCACTATGTAGCCCTGACTGGCCTGGAACTCAGAGATCTGCCTGCTTCCAGTGCTGGGATAAAGGTGTGTAGTACCATCATGCCCAGCCTGAACCCATATTCTCTGGAAAAGTAGTAGGTGCTCTTAACTGCTGAGCCATCTTCCCAGTCCTGATTTTTCTTTTTTTCAAATCAAAAAGTAAGTCACTTGGGATTTGGAGAAGCCATGGTTGTCAGTAGAGTACTTGCCAGGCAAGCATGAGAAAGAACCTGAGTTTGGATCCTCAGCACCCAAGTAAAAAGCTGGAGCACTGGTGTGTGCCAGCCTGCCTAGATGAACTGCTGACCTCTGGGATCAGTCAGAGACCCCGTCCCAGAAAATAAGCTGGAATTAGGCCAGACTTTGTGGCGCATGCACTCAGCCCCAGCACTCAGGAGGCAGAGGCAGGTGGATCTCTTTGGGTTTAAGGTCAGCCCGGTCTACCTAGGGAGTTCCGGGCAAGGTGGGACTACAGGGAAACTGTCTCAAAAAGACAGAGAGAATGAGAGACAGAGACAGAGAGAGGCAGAGAGAGAGGCAGGAAATAACCTGGAATGATGAAGACATCCCCTGATCCCCTGGCTTCCACATGCATGGTCAGCACACATGCACACACCACATGTGAACACAAATTACTTGGTGGATATATATAGCTCAGTAATAGAGCTCCTAAAGGCATTAGATTCAAAAACAAGTTTTTTGCAAAGCCTGAAAGTTTTACCTAGGCCCTGGGAGAGACAAAGGGTTGAAACAATAATAGCTAGTTGACCCCTTGACATTGTTCTAAGAGCTTTACAATGTGAAGTCATTTAAACCTTGCATCAGGCATTTGGATATTACAGAGGAGGAAACTTAGTACCAGATAGTGATTTGCCTAAATCACTTATCTAGTGACTAAATGCTGGTGGGCCAGTATTCAAAGGTCATTTGGCTCTAAAGCAACTACTATACTAACATCTAAATTATTGGTCTTTGTATTCTGTTGCCATCTGCAACATATCTGTGAAAACTAGGACTCTCAATGCTTAGAAACATAAAGCGCAGAGCCCAGCATGGTGGCGCATGCCTGTAGTCCCAGTACTTGGGAGGCAGAGGCAGGCAGATCTCTGTGAGTTCAAGGCCAGCTGGGGATACAGGGAAACCCTATTTCAAAACAAAACAAAACAAAACAAAAAAGATAGAAAAGGGGAAGGGGCAGATCCATGTTGACTGCTACTTCATCTCAGAACTTTGGAGTAATTTTTCCTAACAACCTGTATCCAGCCTATGTTTTAGGAGTCAAACTGGTACCACCCCAGTGAAGCCAGCTGGGTTACTACAATAATTCATCAACTAGCCTTGCTTTTCCTTGCCCCTCTTTGAGTTTCTTAATATTTTTAAACAACTGGAGCCAGCAAGATGGCTTAGCAGGCAAAGGCCCCTTCCATCAAGCCCGATGAACTGAGTTCCAGCCTCTGGACTGACATGGTAGACGATAAAAACTGACTCCCAAAAGTTGTCCTCTGATCACTACATATATGCTGTAGCACACACCTCTTCAATAAACTCAAATGGAGTAAAAAAAATTAATAATCTGACCATCTCACTTGTTTGCTCAAATCTAATAGGCTTTCTGTGATGTTTTTCTTGCATTACATTATTCAAAATGGCAAAGCACTTTATCTCCACCTTTTCCCTACTTTATATCTATCTATAGGACTTACAATGTGCCATAACATTTTCCGTGCCTGGCCTTTCTTCGGTTCTTGCTGAAGATTTTTTGTTTTCTGTTTGTTTGCCTGTAGCCCCTGCTGGCCTGGACTCATTATGTAGCCCCAGCTGGCCTGGATATCACAAAGATCTACCTACCACCTGCCTCTGACTTGAGTTCTGGAAAAGGTATATCCCACCACACCCAGCTATTCACTGTTTTTAAATCTCCTTATATTAAAAGGGAATCTTCATTTTGTTTACTGATTTTTCTAGATCTACTACAATGCACATGGCAATATATATTTGTTAAATGAATTAAGATTGTGGTTTATGATAGGCAAAAAGTTGGATACTAATCACACAACCAGCTTTTAGTTGTTATAGATGGGCTGGCTTGAGTCATAAATTGGGAATTCATTCTACAATACAGAATGAGAGCTCCCTGTGAGCAATAGCGAAACATGTTTTATTTTTGTATTTTGTGAGACAGTGCCTCACTTTGTAGCCCAAGTTCACCTGTTAATTGCAAGCTTTCAGCCGCAGGCAGCAGAGTACTAAAGCGCCCTGCCATGCTTGGCAGAAAGTGGGATTTGTGGGGAGGGAACAAGGACAATAAAGTGTAGAAGTTCTGATTAACTTAGATTACTTCACTTACATTTTTGTAAGGGTCAAAGCAGAGGACACTTTCTTATGTCACTGAAAACTGGCCAGTTTGGGAGATTTGACTGCTTTCCTCTCAGGGTTTCTTCTTTTTGTTTTTTTTATTTTTATTTTTGGTCTCTTTGAGGCAGGGTCTTCCTGTAGCCCCAGCTAGCCTGGAACTCGCTATGTAGATCAGGCTGGCGTTGAACTCACAAAGCTCTGCTTGCCTCAGTGCCCCGCTCCTTATTTCTTAGAAAGTCAGGTAAGTTACGGAGTTTGTGCTTGGTATGGAACTGCAGGATGCATGACACCATTTTGGTTTGATCTGGAGAGCCTAGTGCAGAAGCTCAGTTCTAACCAGTGGCCTCATAAATTTTACTTAATAAAACTTATGGGTTTTCCGCCCTGCTAAATCCCGAATTAAGAACACCACGTCAGAGCCCTAGCCAGTCTTGCAAATGAAAAGGTTAAAAAAAAAAAAAAAAAAAAAAAACCAAAAAAAAACCCGGGAAA